GGGGTGTTCGGGGGGTATTTCGGGGTGTTTTGGGCCGTTTTTGGGGCTCTCACCTTGCTTCTCCTCAAAGACGGCCCACAGCAGGTGCACGTTGGGCATTTTGGGGGCATTTCAGGGGTATTTCGGCAGCGTTTGGGGGCATTTTGGGGTGCTCCAGGGGTATTTTGGGGTGTTTTGGGCCGTTTTCAGGGCTCTCACCTTGCTTCTCCTCAGAGGCGGCCCACAGCAGGTGGATGTTGGGCTTGCAGGGCACTTCAGGGGTATTTTGGGAGCATTTTGGAACATTTTGGGGTGCTTTGGGGGTATTTTGGGGTGTTTTGGGGGTTTCTGGGTGCGTTTCGGGCCGGTTTGGGGCCGTTTCGGGGCTCTCACCTTGCTTCTCCTCGAAGGCGGCCCACAGCAGGTGGATGTTGGGCTTGCGGGGCAGGTGGTAGCCGCAGGCCCTCTGGAAGACGCTGCGGGCGCCGGCGACCGTGTGGCGCTCCAGGTAGCGCGTGTACTGCGGGGACACGCGGGGACACGCGTGGGCTTGGCGTGACCGCGGCGTGTGCGTGGCACGACCATGGCGTGACCATGGCATGTCCATTGCGTGACCGTGGCATGTCCTTGGCATAACCGTGACATGTCCTTAGCATGACCATGGCATGTCCTTAGCATGTCCTTGGCATGACCAAGGCATGTCCATAGCATGACCATGGCATGTCCTTGGCATGAGCATGGCGCGTGCTAAGGGGACCCAGGTGTCCTAGGGCGCAGGCCGAGGGGCCCAGGCGTCCGGGTAGAGGCCACGGAAGCCCAGGCATCCGGGTGGGACATGAAGGAGGCCCAGGCACGTGGGTGGAGGCCAGGGAGCCCATGCGGAGGCCAAGGAGGCCCAGGCATCTAGGTGGGACATTAAGGAGGCCCAGACGTCCGGATGGAGGCCGGGGGGCCCAGGCATCCAGGTGGGACATTAAGGAGGCCCAGACGTCCGGATGGAGGCCGGGGGGCCCAGGCATCCAGGTGGGACATTAAGGGGACCCAGGCACGTGGGTGGAGACCAAGGGGCCCTGGTGGAGGCCAAGGAGGCCCAGGCATCCGGGCGGGCCATTAAGGAGGCCCAGGCGTATGGACGGAGGCCAGGGGGCTCAAGCGTCTAAGCGGGACATTAAGGGGGCCCAGGCGTCCGGGCGGGACATGAAGGAGGCCCAGGCGTCCCCGGGGCGCCGGGCGGAGGCCGAGGGGCCCCGGCGTCCGGGCGGAGGCCGCACCTTGACCCAGAACTCCTCGTAGAGGGCGCAGGCGATGACGCAGCGCTCGAAGAGCACGATGATGCGCTCGTGCGAGCCGGCCGCCAGCTCGTAGTCCAGGTAGTCGCGCCAGTTGCGGAGCTGCGCCCGCTCCAGCGGCTTCACGTGGAAGTAGGGCCGCTTGATCTGCGGGACGCGCCGGGAATGAGGCGGGAGGCGGCGGAATTCCGCGGCGCCTCCCGGCCGGCACTCACCCCCTCCTCGAAATTCCAGCGCTTGCCGACCTCGGCCTCGTTCTGCGCGTGGATCTGCTGCCGCATGGAGATGACGAGCTCCCGGATCTGCTCCTCGTCCGGCTCGGCCTGGAAAAGGGCGCGGGAATGGTGGGCGGGGGGGCGGATTTCCCGGGAGCGGCGTTCCCGGCGGCGGGAAGCGGCCGGCGGTCCCGGGAGCGGCGGTGTTGCCGGCAGCGGCGTCGGCTGGCGGTCCCGGGAGCGGCATTCCCAGGAGGAGGAGAAGTCGGGAAGCGGCTGGCTGGCGCCGGGGCGGAGAGAAGGTGGGAAGCGGCCAACATTCCCAGGAGCGGCGTTGCCAGCGCACGGAGAAGGCAGGAAGAGGCTGGCGATCCCGGAGGGGAAGCCGGGAAGCAGCCGGCCCCTCCCGGGAGCGGCATTCCCAGGCTGGAGAGCAGCCGGGAAGCAGCTAGCGCTGCCGGGATTCCCGGACGGAAGTCGGGAAGCGGCCGGCATTCCCGGCACAGAGAGAAGTCGGGAAGCGGCCGGCATTCCCGGCACCTACCTGCGCCTCCGCGGCCTCCGCCGCCTCCGCGGCCTCCGCGGGCCGCTCCTCTCCCGGCGGAGCCTCCGCGGCTCCCGGCTCCGGCTCCTTCGGAAGCGGCTCCGCGGCCAGCTTGGAGCGGAGCCACAGCAGCTCCTCRGGGGTCAGGATGTCCCGGGGCGGGTTGTGCAGCACGTGCTCCTTGAACCTGCCGGGAAGCGGGAACGTGGGAGCGGAGCTGGGAATGGGGCGGCCCCGGGGGGGTTGTCCATGCGGGAACGGTACAAATCCGGGGGGTTTTCCGTGGGGAACGGGGGCGATGGGGGCGGTTTTCCACAGGGAACGGGGAGATTGAGGCTCCCCGGGGCTGTTTTCCGCCGGGATCAGGGAATTCTCCGCCAGGGATTTGCTGYAGGAAGCAGCGGAGATTTTCCCCGTTTCCCGTTGGGAACGGCGGGAATTCCCAAGCCCCGGRGCCATTTTCCCCGGGATTTCACCCTGCGGGGGAAACGCTGGGCACCCGGGCGCTGTTTTCCATGGGAAATCGGCCCAATTTGGGGCGTTTCCAGGGAATCCCGCCAGCCTCCGGGGATTTTCCCGGGAAGGATTTGGGCTTTTCCCGGCGTTGCCGGCATTCCGCACCTCTCCCAGTGGTGGCTGTAGAGCTGCGTGGGCATGGAGAGCAGGCGGTCGAAGAGCGCGGTGACGGCGCGCAGCTCGCCCTGCGCCCGCTCCCACTCCACGTAGAGCTCCCAGAGGCGATCCGAGCGGAAATCCATGCCGGCCGCCGCCACGGCCGCCTCGAACACGCTGCGGCAACGGCGGCAACGTGGGACAGCGCAGCGGGAAATGGGAAACGGGAGAATGGGCAAATGGGGAAGTGGGAAACGGGAGAATGGGAAAGCTGGCGGCGTCAGYGGGAAATGGGAAAATGGGAAGGGTGATGGCGTCAACGGGAAGCGGGAAATGGGAAATGGGAAGGACGGTGGTGTCGGGGAAGCGGGAAATGGCAAAGTGAGAAACGGGAAAATGCAAACAGTCATGGTATCAGCAGGAAATGGGAAAATGGGAAAATGGGAAAATGGGAAAATGGGAAGAGCGACGGCAACAGCGGGAAGTGGGAGATAGAAAAGCAAGAAACAGGAAAACGGAAACGGTGTCAGCGGGAAGCAGGAAACGAGAAAGCAGGAAATGAGAAAATGGGAAACAGCAAAATGGGAAGGGTGACGGCATCAACGGGAAGCAGGAAATGTGGGAACGGTGATGGTGTCAGTGAGAAGTGGGAAATAGAAAAGCAGGAACGGCATTGGCAGGAAGCGGGAAAGTGGGAAAGGAGGAAGCGTGGATGACGACGGTATGAGCAGGAAAACGGGAAAGCAGGAATGGTGACGGTGTCAACACGAAGCAGTGGAAAAGAGAGGGAAAAGAGGTGGCATCAGCGGGAAAACGGGAGAGTGGGAAAGGCGGCGTTGGGAAGGAGCGGGAACGGCGGCGTCCCGGGAGCGTCACCCACCCGCGGATCTTTTGCACGGATTCGGGATCGCCGGGATCCAGGGTGCTCTGCAGGAAGGAGATGTAGTGGATCCAGAGGTCCATGGAGAGCGGGATGGACTGGAGGCCGCGCTCGAACACCTGGCCGGAGAGGAGGCGGCGTGAGCGGGAACGCCGGGAAGGGCGGGAAAAGCGGGAAGCGGCGCCGCGGGAGCAGCGGGACGAGCCGCGGCGGGAGCGGGCAGAGCCGGAGGCGCCGGCCCCGCGCCGTGCAAACCTGCGTCGCGGAGCGGGGCCGGGAAGGGGCTCCGAACGGCCCGGAATGCCGCCGGGCACCTGGATCTGTCACGGAGCGGGGGACACAAAGCCGGAGGTGACGGCCCGGCCGGCGGGCGGCTCCGCGGGGAGCTTCCCGCCGGGAATTGCCTACCTGCTCGGCGCGGCGCGCGCAGCCCCCGCGCCGCTCCATGTCCGCGTACTTCTTCCAGTAGCCGTAGCAGTACGGATAGCGGGAGAAGAAGGCGTCGAAGGCCTTGCGGGCGGCCGGGAGGTGGTTCTGCGGGAGGCGGGAATGGCGGGATGTGGGTGGGAATGGCGGGATGTGGGCGGGAATGGTGGGAAGTGGGTGGGAACGGTGGGATGCGGGTGGGAATGGCGGGATGTGGGCGGGAACGGTGGGACACGGGCGGGAAACGGCGCCTGCGCCCCCGGAGCGCCGCAGGGTGGGAAACACGGTGGGACGGCCCCGAACGGCCCCATAATGACGGGGGCGGGTGGGAAATAAGGCGGGAAAATCCTTGGGATGAGCCCGTTCCCGTTCCCACCATTCCCGCTCCCCATTCCCGCCTCCATTCTCCCCCTTCCCAACCCCTACTCCTGCCATTCCCATCCCCATTCCCACCATTCCTGCCCCCCCCATTCACGTCCCCATTCCCACCATTCCGGCCCCTCATTCCTGCTCCTACTTCCCCATCATTCCCTCCATTCCCGCCCCTATTTCCCCATC